GTCACTTCTGGTCCTCAAGGTCATGGGCCTCCAATTCAATGGCCTTCAAGAGGCTCTCCAAGCCTTCCTAAAATCTAAAGTTTGCTCCAGCTCCAAGAAAAAAGGAAGAGGGTCCAAAGAAATTTCCAACCTTGTTTGCAGAATCAACTATGACCGGTTACCCTTGTCTTCCCTTGCTCTAAGCCCATCAGAATCACAAGCCACAGGGAGGTTCCACTTTGCTGCCCTTCCAGGTACACCAACCCCCACCCAAGAACCTCATGCTAATCCATTACTGGAATGTCTGGGGCCTCACGCTTCTGGCAAAGCGCAATGTGGTGCGCAATATCATCAGCCATTATTCCCCCTCCATCCTCGCTCCGACAGAAACAAAAGAACCTCCCACCCTCCACGTTGTTAGACAAGTATGGGATCGAAATTGCTATCAGTGGGTGGTTAGACCAGCAGAAGGGGCCTCGAGTGGTATATGGATTATATGGGACCCCTCTCTCTTTTTTCTCTTCTCTCTAGTGGCTATCTTCTCAGTGAGAATTTTATTGTCAAGACTCTTAGATGGTTTAGTATTCAAGTTTTTGGCCATTTATGGCCCAAACTCAAATAGTCTAAGGGATGCTTTTTGGATTGAGTTAGACTCTGTTGCGTCTCCCCTCCTCCAAGTGGTGCCTTGAAGGGGACTTTAATATAACGAGATGGTCCTTCGAAAGGAACTCCCTTTCCAGAGTTACCACGGCCATGTCGCAGTTTTCCGACTTCATCTTACACCATGACATGATTGACATTGCGTTAGAAGGGGCTTGCTATACTTGGTCCAACCATTCACCCTCCCCATCCCTTGCCAAACTTGACAGCTTTTTGTTTACCCTAGGTTGGGGTGCTAAATCTCCAGGTTCCCATGCTTCTGCACTACCCAGACCTACATCAGACCATTGCCCCATCCGCCTGGATACCCATCTCGTATTGTGTAGCCCTAAACCGTTCGTTTCGAGCTGCTTTGGCTTGATGATCCTAATTTTATCCCTTTGGTCCCTCTTTGGTGGAATTCCTTCACCCCCAATCTCGGGGAGAGTTGGTGTCTGGCTTCAACAAAAAATCCAGCTGCTTTGACAGTCACTGATCAAATGGAGGAAGCAGCTCCCAGGCAATTGTTATTCCCGTAAAAGCTCCATTTAACAAGCCGTTCAGGGGTGGGACTCTCTTGAAGAACTTAGACCCCTCACTGAACAGAGAGACAACAAGGGAAAAACTTAAGTTCGACTTCCAAACCATTCTCGAGCAAGAAGAAAGCTAGTGGTATCAATGATCTCGTGTTAGGTGGCTCACGTTAGGGGACCTCAACACCTCCTTCTTCCACAAGATAGCGAATTGCAGAAGGCGAGAGAATTCAATAACTCGCATCAGAATCGGGGACAATTGTCTGGAACAGCCTTCTGAGGTGGAAGGGACTATTATAGACTTCTTCAAGCTTCTCTTCTCAACCCCTTTGGACCCAAACCCTCTTTGGAGGATCTTTCTTTCCTCTCCCTTCCGCCTGAGAAAGCAACTTGGATCAAACGTTCCTTCTCCAAGGAAGAGATCCTTAGTGCCATCCACGACCTCGGTGAAGACTGGGCCCTGGCCCTGACAGCTTCCCCATGGCCTTCTTTGAGTCCTTCTGGCCCTCTCTTCGGGCTGAATTTCTTGACTTCTTCAACGAATTTCGACAAGGGCATTCTCCATAAGGCTCTCAATGCCACCTTCATTGCCTTGGTCCCTAAGAGAGAAGGGGTCGAGGAGCTTAAAGATTTCTGGCCCATAAGCCTAATCAACAATACATTCAAAATCCTCTCTAAAGTTCTAGCCTCCCACCTCAGAGAAGTGCTGGGATTAGTCATTTCCCCTCAACAAGGAGCCTTTATCAAGGATCACCAGATCCTTAACGGTGCATTTTTCGCCCATGAATGTATCCATTCGAATCATCTTTCCAAAACTCGGGGCCTGGTTATCGAGCTAGATTGGGAGAAGGCCCACGACCATGTAGATTGGTCAATTCTAGATGAAACCCTTGCCCGGATGGGCTTTGGCCTCCGATGGCAAAAATGGATTCATGGCTGCATCTCCAATTCCCATTTTTCCATTCTCATCAACAGGTCCCCCAAATGCTATTTCCCCTTTTCCAGGAGTCTGCGACAGGGAGATCCCCACTCCCCCTTCCTTTTCGCTATAGTGGCTGACGTTTTCAACCATTCTATTCATCGCCTTTTCCAAGCTGGGATGTTGCATGGGTTCACTATCAGAACCCAAGGACCTACCATCTCCCATCTTCAATACGCAGACAACATCCTAGTCTTTTGCGATGCATGTGGCCCTATGCCCAAGAAGTTGACACCCTCCTACTCTTTTTCAAATGTTTCAAGTGGGCAATAGGGTTCATAGTGAACATGGACAAGACTAAGATGATGGGGGTGGCTCGCAATCCCCACATCATTCAGGAGTTGGCTGAAATATTGTTCTGTTTAGCTGACAACTTCCTGCCAACCTACCTTGGACTACTACTTTGCATAGGGAAGCCTAAGCTCAGTCGGTGGGCTCAACTTATCGATAAGTTCAACTGAAATTCGCTACTTGGAAGGGTTGATTTCTCTCCTCGGCTGGTAGAGTTACCCTTTATTAAGGCAACTCTATCCAATATGCTAGCATACCAAATGTCCCTTTCCTTGTGCCGGCCTCAGTTAGATCTCCACTCGAGCAGCTAATGCGAAAATTATTGTGGACCAGTGATGACAATAAGCACAAATATCACCCTATCACCTATGCTAAATCAAGATTTTCAACTGGTTGGCCCTATCCATGAGAGTCCTCACAGTCGATCAACTGTAGAGAAGGGGTTTGTCTATACCTAACCATTGTGTCATGTGTAAGGCAGCCGAAGAGACCATTGCCCATTAGTTCATCCTCTGTCCCATTGCTAGCCATCTGTGGGGAGCCCTCCTCCAATTGTTTCACTGGCAATGGGTGACTCCCAGCACAATCCCTCGACTTTTTTCCTCTGTCCCACATCCCCTGGCCCAAATCAGGTATCCTACTCTGAAAAGTGGCAATAGCTGCCATTCTTTGGACCTTTTGGATTGAACGCAACCGACGAGTATTCCATGGAGAGAGTTCCTCCCCCCAGCCTTATTTGAGAAGATAAAGTCAGCTGTGATCTTTTGGGCATTGAATCAAGAACTTTAAGGGTTTCCTCGACCTTCCGCATGGATTGGGTGGCCATGCTCTATCTTAGCTGGCATCGAGTTTTCCGTGCTTCGCTGTGTCATCCACCTGAACCTGGCTTTGTCAAATTGAACTTCGATGGTTGCTCTCTAGGCAACCCTGGTCCTGCCAGCATAGGTGGGCTATTCAGGAATCATGAAGGCACCATCCTAGCCTCCTTCTCCAAACACATCGGCCATTCAGATTCCCAAACTGCTGAGGCACTTGCTCTCCTTGAAGGCCTTAAATTTTTTAACCCTTCATAGACCGATCACAGAAGGTTACTCTAGCAACATCCTTACCTCGGCCCCGGGCTCGGCATCTTGTGCCTGGCCTCTGGCCCTGATCTTTGATGAAACTACCCACTTAAGCAGGGGCATAACTTTGTCCCTATTTCATGGAGCCATATATGGCGAGAAAGTAATTCATATGCTGATACACTTGCAAAGGTGGGCGCTAAAAACATCAGCGACTGAGTTTTTTTGCAATCTCAGTCTATATTTTGTGCAGTCTTTGGCACTTTGTCCCTCATTTGCTGTTTTGTTACACCCTTCGAAGCCTTTGCATGGTGCTCCCACTCAGCGGGCTGCCATTTTTGGATTGTACATAGTCTCCACTCCTTGGAGACTCAATTTTGTACTATTCTTTCCTTTAAATACAACAGTTAACTTCATCAGGAAAAAAAAGCTATGTTCATTATGATTTAGGGCTTCAGAGATAGAGAACAATGTTCACTATGATTATGGCTCAACAATGCGAGAGAGAGAGAGAGAGAGAGAGAGAGAACAATGTTGGCTATGATTAGGGCTTCACAATGTGAGAGGGATTTCAATTTGGGGGTTTAAATTAATGAATTAAATGTTATAAATGTAATTAAGTTATTTAGAATATGTGTGTGTGTGTGTGCGTGTGCGCATGTACGTATATAATAGTCCGGTTCTTTGGAAGCAGGCCTAGGTTATCCACAATTTAGGCTCCATCCTAATCCAATATAAAGATTGGTTGTGGAATATCTTCTACTTCGGAACCCTGCTGCAGCTGTCCTGCCATTTCCCTGAAGCTCTAGAGTGTGAAACGATCTGAAGTTGTCCTTTCACCCTTTTACACAATAATAGCTCCCTTCAATTCTTGAGGGTAGGAATTTTGCTTATAAAATCAAAAATTCAAAAAAAAAAAATGACCAAAGAAAAAGTTGATTTTGAACAAGTTGGATTTCATCCCCATAGAACCAAAAGAATGTGGTTCTGAGGGGCCTTGGATGGGTTATATACCCCACCAAAACCTTTTAAACCCCTCCTGGGGAGAGAAGACCAAATGGTCCTATTGTGGGTTATATTTCTACCCTTGAGTAGAAGGCCTAACCAACTAATTGTGGCCATATAGGCTTGCCTCTATGTGGCCACCGGGGCATCATGTATACCCGCTTTGTTGTGCCAAAGTGGTTTGGCCATGGGCCACTACATCTTGTTGTGGCCACATAATGTGGCATGTGACAATATTTGATAATACTGCAGTAGAGTACAGGAGACTCAACTCAGGATGCTGAGATAACAAAATAGACAAAAAGATTAAAAACTGTCCTTTCCCTTCCTGAAAAAACTCCCTCTTAAGTTCATGAGATCTGCATGAAAGCTAATGATAATAGTAAAACATCGGTCCATCTGCAGGCTTGTTTATCTATGTTGATGTTTACATAAATATGTGTATGTATTTCTTTTGTTCCTTCCTTTTGTAGATGCCCTAGTAAATTAAATTTAATGGTTTTTGTACAGGCCCTAGATACCCCAAGAGAGAAAATGCCGGCAGATCATATTTCAAAGGTACTCTAGCTGGATGGCTCATAAATGATGAAATATCTTAGTGCTACTAGATGCTTACGGCTAAAGCTCGGATCTCATGTGGGCAGAACCGTCGGCTTTCTGTAATGTCTGATGTATTGCGTGAATAGTAAGTTTATCATTGTTTATTTTTATTTCAGCGTTTTTGATTGGCATAGCACATTCTTGGTGCAGCTTTGCAGTAATGCAATGAAGGAATCTTTTCTCCATGTAAGTCAAGTTCCAAACTGCCATACACTTTCCACTATGCTTATTATTCCTGTTTTGCAAAATATCCTTTATACCTATTTTGAAAAGTAATCATTATACCCTTCTTGAAACTGGAGAATTTGTTAGTATTGTTGAGATTTATTGCCTTTTTTTGGATAGTTCTTTGGAGATCGATTCAATGCCTTTGTTGGTAATTTCGAGAAATCATTTGGGAGCACGTTGAAGACACTACAATTGGTTGATCGAGCATCTACAGATGAGAAGACTACAGTTCCTTGCTTGTCAGAGGTCAAGGTCAATCCTTCAATTCCCCTGCCTTCTGCAAACATTTGCGATTCGGGTGGTGGAGTTGAAGAATCAGATGAAAATATTGCAGAGACTTCTATAAGCCAGCAAGTAGTGTTGCATGGGCACGTCAATCAGCAGCTTGTTCAGGTGGCTCAGAGCATAGATGATATAAGGTTTAGACAGTCTGTTATGGGTACCTTCGAGAAGTCAGTAATTGAGCAAGCTCGTTCAAATGACCTGAAAACATGTGAGATTGGTCTTATCATAAGGCGTATGCGCTTGAAAGAAGCACAACTGGCTCTAGATTCTGATTCAAATTCATTGCAGAGGGTTAAATTATCTATGGATGTCTCGAAGGCATCCTTTAAAGAGGAAAAGTTGAAAGATCAGATGAAGGATTCCGGGCATGCAGAATTGATCAAGATGTGCAACGACTGTTTAGTTGCTGGTATGCTCATAATGTCAGCCTCCCTTGGATACGCTGTTTATACGTACTCATATGACAGGATCACTGAGGCTACTATGTCATGCACTCCTTCCTCCAAGGTTAGAAACACAGTATATCTTCTTTTCATTTAATGCACAAAAAGCATAGTATATGGATATCTTCTAACTGTCTATTTGTTTGTATGCATGCATGTTTATGTATGTAGATATCTATGTATGGTTGTATATCTATGTACGTATGTACATATGTATTTATGGTTATATATGTATATACGCACATACATACATGCGTAATATATATATATATATATATATATATATATATTTATTATTGAGAGAGAGAGAGAGAGAGAGAGATTGATAGATAGATTGTCTGTGAATTTTCTTTTCTGGCTTGCATGGATTTGTTGATGAAAATGTTATCTTTGGCAATTTTACTTTTTCTAGGGTTCATCAAAATCTTGGTTTCGGAATCCTATGGATTTGATGATTCCTCAGCTGCAATATGTGAGATGTCAATTCATCGTCATGAGCCGATTGCTCTTTTGCATGTTCATGGTTTTGGCTATTGCTTACCTTCTTCTCCAGCGCTCAGGTTCCTCGAGGCAAACCATGCCACTGACTTTCATTCTAATTCTCTTAGGGGTTTTCTGTGGTTTTGCCGGCAAGTTGTGTGTGGATGGATTGGGTGGAAGTGGGTATTGGTGGCTGGCATATTGGGAGGTTCTTTGTGCTTTGCATCTCTTTGCCAATTGCTTCACCCCAGCTTTATATTTTATTCTGAATGGCCCCATTGCTATATCTTTTAGAAAGAAAGAGAAGGTCAGGATTCCTTACTGGATTCGAGTATTTGTATTTTACAGTTGCATACTTGTGATCCACCCAGTGTTATGTGGTCTTGTGCCTTTTGCGTCTCTTCATGACTGGAAAGACCACTTTTCAACCTTATGGGCTCATCATTTGTATTAGAAATACGCCCCTTTCTGGCAGCAGGTTTAGAAATGGACTTAATGGGTCTACTTGATCCTCTTCAAGTCCAACTGGTGTAATTATCTTTTTTCTTATGATCGAGGAGTGTGTATTTTTGTTTGAATGGATGTGGTATGAATGCTGTAAATTGATATGAATATAATTATCTTTTTCTTATGATCGAGGAGTGCGTATTTTTGGTTGAATGGATGTGGTATGAATGCTGTAAGTTAATATGAATATATAAGTTGTTGCAATGAGTCAATTTTGTTGCTAAAGCATTGATTCAAAGTGGAAGTGAATAGAATTAGCATTTACCCTTATTTGTGGTTGAGGTTTGGAAAAGTTGAAGATTAGATGCATGTCATTTTAGTTGAGTTTCTATTATAAAAATTGGCTTGGAGTGGTCCAGTGTAAGGACTTCAAGTATGCATATATTGGAAATGATCTCTCTCTCTCTCTCTCTCTCTCTCTCTCTCGCACGCACGTGTGCTACTGCAAACATCCATTTGGATGATATCAACTGGCACAGCTTAGAATCGTCTGAATTTTGACATGATCAAATTTCAGCTTTGTCAGTTTTGATGAATAAGTTCAATCATTGTAGCGTGTTTGTTGGCAAACTTCCTATTGCTCACAGGAGACCTCTTTTTGTTTTGCTGTTGATTTTTCTCTATCGTTTTAGCATCTTTAGACAGTGATTGAACAATCTAGCATGAATTTCTGAAGTTGTTTGCTGTTCTTTGATATTCCTTTTCTGGCTCTGTATCCTGCCAATCTAGTCGCACATCGTCTGGCTACATCTTTAACTACATCTGCGTTGTATATTCCTTGGAGTAGTAAGAGTAAGACAATGTTCATAGAATGCATTGCCTATTGCACCCACAGCAATGGCCTCCTGAGTCTTAAGCACAAAGTCAAAATAGCAAGGGTAGGTATTTTGGTAATCTTCAGCCCTACTTTTACCTTTTCTTATGATCCCTCTCTCATCACGTCTTCCAAACCCTTGATCAGGCCATCATCTCGTGCATTATTCAACATTATACCACCATTAAATGAAGCTACTTCCTCTTTCACACTCCTTGTTCTAAACCTGCAATTGAACCTACCTGTTCAATTCAATAATGAACACCTTTATAACCATGCTTCATTGGTTAATCTCTGCTGCTAATCTTTTCTGTAAACCTATGTGTCCTTAATTCAATAATAACCACCCTTGCAATCTCAGTCCTTGGCTAATCCTAGTTCCAAACTTGCAATTGTACCTACCTCTCGTCAATTCCTTCATAGCCACCTACAACCTTGCTTTCATTGATTGAATCTCCATAACTGACTCTCAATCTAAACCTGCAATTGAACCTACATGTCCTTAATACAGCTGTAACCACCCTTACAACCTTTACATTGTAACTTTGTTTCGATTGATTGAAGTATTCAATCTCCTATCGAGTCCATTTCTGATGAAGCTTTCTTCATGATCGAGAACCATTGCTGAGGATTTCTTGATGATCGACTGCTAATTAGGCTTCTTGATGACTGAGAATCATTGCTCAGGGTTTCTTGATGATCGATTGCTGACAATGATGTCTATTAATGGGAGAGGGGCAAATCCATGTCAATGATGATCTCATCATGGAGTCAACATCTCTTGTCCTGATCTTCAACAAGAGGGAAAGAGCTTCGATGACTTTGCTAATTGAATTCAAAGATCATATCACCCAGGTGTGAAGAAATTACGCAGATTGTCAGCAAGCAGGCCACCACCAATGTAGGCATGTCAAGTGGTGTAATGATAGATGGCCTGCTATCAGATTTGATCCCCTGAAGGAGATAGTGATGTGAAGGCTTTGGAGTTCAACTTGGTGGAACATTTTCTCAGACTGAACCTGAAGTTTATGGTGAGCCGAAACACAGCCAGCCATTACGTTAATGATTAAAGATTATATCCTGATCAAAAGCTTCCATAAGTAGTGACAGTGAACATATTAAAAAAAAAAGAAAAAAAAGTGCAATAGTAGGATGGACTATCCATCTACTAATCTCATGACGGATTGCGAGATCACTAATCTGCATGACTCCTACTTACACAAATTTAAGATGCATGTTTGAATCCATTAGTCCATAACCAATCAAGTTATGTGAAATAAGGACAACTTATTTATGTAGGAGCTTTAGGGCTGGCTTAGGACTGACAACAATAGTGCCTAAGTTCGGCCAACCTTGACCCATAAGCCCAACTAGGCCAGACGGGCTGGCCTTGTCAAGGTTGGGCCAAATATAATCAAAGAAAAAATGAAAGAAAAAAATAAGGAGAAAAGGGAGGGCCTGGGTCAACCTTATTGTAACCTGCCCGGCTCTCAGGCCACATTTTTGGCCCATACCAATTTATCTTAAGACCGGGTCCCATTGCTACTTTCAGCCATTGTGGTATCGTTTAGAACCATTGATATACTTTCAGCCATTTTGGTATGGTTTAGAACCATTGATATACTTTCAGCTCGGCGCACCAATCTATGAAATCTTAATTATGGGATGTTTTAACCTGGTGATTACCGAGGCTAGGTGCGAATCCATCAGCTTTATAGATACAAAAATATAAATAAAAACATGATTTCTAAACAAAACCATCGGCACTCTATCAATTTTTGGAAGGGTGCAGATGCACCCCTCTCATGGCTCAGATGGAACTACACAGCTAATTGTTCAAATTCAATGTTGTATTTTATTTTTTATTCGAAATTTATTTTACCTGAAACTTAAGGTGTAGATTCTTTTTTTATAAGTTATAGCAAATGAAACTAATAAAAATTTTATTTTTCAATAAAATAATTGACTAAAATACCTCTAAAGTTTTTAGGGTATGGTAGTCAATTTATTTTATTCAATTTTTATTTTTTTTATTTGTTGTGTAATTTTAAAAATAAATATATCCCAAATTGGACGTAAAAATAACTATTAAATTAAAATAAAAATAAAAACAAAATTAATTTTAGACCGTTAGATGTGGCATGGTTCAATATGAACAGTTGGAGGGGTGCTTGTGCTACAAGATGTGGACGCTACGCCATTATACATAAACACATGAACTCAAAAGAAACCTGTCCACTGCCAATGCAATGCACAAGCCTAACCAGTCAAATTATAGATGGATTTTAGAATAGTATATTTTAAACTTAAACAAACTATTATGATCAAGCCATAAAAGTTTGAAATTAAAAAAATAAATAAACTAAAAGACTTGTGCTACTCATTTGTATCTAATCAGATTCATCATACATGGAAATCCCAAATTTTCATATAAGGATAACTTGTTTTATGAATATATAAGGATAAGTTGTTTTTTGAATCCCAAATTTTGGGAAGGGGGTGGGGTCGTGGTGGTAGCACCCGCATCCTAATCACCATATTGTAGTTTTTATTCCCACCACTAACACCACCCCAACCACTAGCACTTTAAAAAAAGCTAAATCCTAATTTACTCGAAAAAACTGATAGGGGCATGTCTTCCCCAGTTAATTACCCAAAAAAAAATCCCAAGAAACTTGTTAAAAGTGAAAAGTTGTTCCTTTAATACTCGTTTAAAAGTGCACTTCTTATTTTACTTAAAAAAAAAATACTTTATCTTAATCACGTACTTGAAAGGAAACCTTTTTTAAGCGGAAATTTCTACTTTATAAGGAGAGAGATCTGCAAGAAAACCTTGTTTATTATGATTGTAGTGTGAAAGGAGTCTCCTACTTTGAAAAAAGCAATTTTTTACTTTTATTTATTTATTTTATTAAACTTGATGCAAAATCAAATAAAATCGACAACCATTGTTGCATGATGATAACACATACAAAACACACATATTTGAAATATGGACGAGCAAGCAGCTCGTGCGATGCAGGGGCACCTAGGCGAACATAGAGATACAAGTTAGATAATTTAAAAATGAATACTGAGGTATAAATATAAATTTTAGGGAAACTTACAAAAGAAAAAACACCTCCAAAACTACACTTTCTATGCAATATATCTTCAACTTAATTTTTTCTCTCACTTTTTTTTCAAAATATACTTTCTATGCAAAAACCTCCAACCAAAAAAAAGCCTAAACTATCCTCCCTTACTTTTACCATACCATGCCTCTCTCTCCCCTATCCCACCAAAATAGGGGGCTCCGGCACTATGTAAGTGCAGTCCGGTAGTCGCACAATAACACTGTATAAACTTTGGTCTAGCAGCAAGGCTCCGGCACTGTGTAAGTACGGTCCGACAGTAGCACTTCAGCACTATGTAAAGTTTGATTCGGTAGTAATGCTTCGGCACTGTGTAAAGTACGGTCCGACAGTAGGGCTCCAGTACTATGTAAAGTGCAGTCCGGCAATTGAAAAGGGCGGTCCAAAAGTTGTAAAGGGCAGTCTGACAGTTGCAAAGGGCAGTCCAGCAGTTGCAAAGGGCTGTCCAGTACTTGTGCGCTCCCGCAATATGATCGTGCGCTCTGGCAATATACTACTATCCAAAAGTCAACGTCAAATCTGTCAAAAATGATTTTTGTATACAAGAAGGGCGTTTCCGTCTAAAAAAATAAACTTTTTCCCTTGGGGGTATTTGCATAGAAAGTTTGTTTTGAGAAAAAAGTGAGAGAAAAAGTTAGGTTGGCTATAAGTTGCATAGAAAGTGTGGTCTTGGAGGATTTTTGTAATTTTCCTTAAATTTTATGTGTAGCAAAAAAAATCTTTTCTATCCAAAAAAAGAGAGAAAAATTATTTGATTTAAATTGGAATTTTTTTCTTAGGATGATGCGAGACCTAAATGTAGAGGCAGTTTGGTAAATTTATTTTCTTAGAAATAAAAGTTACGATTGTTTATATATTTTGGACATAGAAACATTATTTTTGAAATAATATAGAAAATAGGTTTTATAGTCAAATTAGGGCCTTTCCCCCTTTTAGGATGACATGGAACACAAATAAATTTATTTTTTTGTCTAAGTTAGTATATAGGAATACATTTTAATTTGAACCAGTTTTTTTATTTTTTATTTTATTTATTTTTATCTTTTGAAGAGCATATGAAGCCTGAAAGTAGGCGTCAAATATATAAGGGATAGTTTAAGAATAAGTTTTTTTGGATATATTTTTTTTAAGGCAGCTCAGCATGGGATTCAAATCCCAAATTTAAGATGTAGCGTCAATTT